TCAGAAATCATTCTAATATGCTGATTTGCTGCTCAATAATCATTTTTATTATCAATGTTAAAAACAGTTGTGAAAACCATGATATATTTTCAAGGATTCTTTGAAGAATAGAAAGTCAAATAAAAAGCATTTATTTGAAATAGAAGCAATTAGTAAAATAGTAACATTATAAATGTCACTTTTAATCAATTTAATGCATCTTTGTGAATAATTTCTTTAAAAAAAAAAAAGGAATGCAAATATATCACTAATCCCAAACCTTTGAACAGTAGTGTATTATTAATAAACTACACTTTCAGCCATAATATGAATTTATTTGAATGTCACTGCATTTCGATTTCGATTCAAATATTCTCATTTTCAAATTTGGTTTCAGGAACTGAATTTCAAAGACATTCTTATTTCAGTTCTGATTCTGAATGGCCCCCAAACCCAGTTTGACACTGACATGTTGTCTTCAGTTACAAGCGTTATCATGGGAAATATGTGAAGATGTTGTAAACAAAAGCCTGTAAAGTACAGTAAAGCAGTGGAGCAGTGGAGCTGGACCGGGGCACGACGGCCTTCAGCTGTTTCTCTCTCAGGAGAGAATGTGTTTACTTGAAATGTTCTCATACAGTTTGATTACTCTTGTCTTCATAGAGCTTCAAGCTAGTCTGAGACTCTTCTCTAGAGGAATCCATTACACATTTTCTTTTTCTCTGTTTATAGTCCACATGTGCTTCATTTTATGTTTCACGGCAGATTTTCATGCTTGTACTGTATGTGCAATCCAGTTGTATTTTCATATATGACGAAATGTTTCGTAATTTCGCCTCTACTGGTCTCCATTCCATCATTCACCAAATAGATCACAGAGGGGTAAAATCACTGAACGGTTGCACAACTTTCGCTCGAGTATTTAAATGTTTGCTGTCTGTTTTGGTTTAAACGTGTATAGCGGATTCCCCCCTCAATATAGTTAATGACTCTGACTGAAGTTTTATGTGTTTCACAGTGCCAGCGGTATGGATGCGCTGAAGATCGAGGAGATGGAGAAGATGTTGAAAGAGGCACAGCTAGAGAAAGCTCGGCTCATAGAGTCCAGAGTAAGTTGTAGAATCAGTATTAAGGAACCATATTCATCTTTTTTGACTGCCAGTCTTGTCTAATGACCTCTGCTCTCTTTTGGCTGCAGGAACGAGAGACTCAGGCCCGTAAACTCATGCTAGAGGAGGAGAGAAGAAGAAGAGAGGAGGCGGAGAAGAGACTGCAGGAGGAGACGGTACACAGACAGCAGTTGATAGAGAAGGAGGTGAAGATGAGGGCCAAAAACTTCTCTCAGGTGAGGAGTTGCAATTCTGTGACGAAAGTCCATTGTGATTTTACAGGGACTGCCAATTTAATGTCAATTTGGTACAAATTTTATATTTTTTCTTTTT